AAAACCCACAGTCTGCAAGTCGAGTTGTAGGCATCATTGTCCATCAGATCAGTGGTGAATCTCTATCTTGTCATTTCCTGATTGTTTCTCATTCCTCGGATCGTTCTTCTGGGTTTAAGATTGCACACAGTTTCCACGGTTGACTCCAGAATATCCTCCTCCAGAAATGCTACGATATGACTTCTTGCTATAACCACGTGAACCTCCAGAACCATATGAGCCTCCATAACAACCCCCATAACCACCCCCGGCTCCACCCCCATAACCACCCCCATAACCACTCCCGGCTCCACCTCCATAAACTCCCCCATAACCAGTTGAGCCTCCGAATCCTCCACCAGAACCAACAACACTGTTACCTCCCCCGTAACCACCACCATAACCTCCCCCATAACTAATTGAGCCACCATATGAGCCCCCAGGTCTAATTGGCAAATTTGGTAAGGAGCTTCCTACGAAGCTGTCTTGAGGACATGTAGCCATAGTTGGTCCCGGGAATCTCACAACAACTGGTGGCGCATAGACCACTGCAGTCGAATCTCCGCATGATGAGATACACGGCTCGTTGCGGACGTCAATACATGGACGTGGGCATATATCGGGATAACAATCCTGGGGTGGGCAGTAAGACATCTTCTGTGTTGGAGGGAATCCTGAAAAACAAAGGAGGGAGTAAAGAAACCATGAGACACAGTTGAGATTGGAATAAGAGATTAACGGTTTGAGTTTTAGAGTAAGAGGGGCGAGATAGGTAGGTAGGTTTTTTGAAGGACACATATATGCTCCCGTTTCTTCCTTCTATTCATTCGCACCCATTCCCCTTATGCTTCAGACACACACACACAAAATCCCAGCAATTTCAAAACAAGTTACCTTATGAGGAAACTGCTCATAAGGAGAATTTCTTCTTACCAACACTAAACTAGAGGCTAGATTTGCCCTGAAGGAAAATTCATATAAAGCACTTCTAAATTCTGAAACTTATCTAGATCTTCATCATCCACTAAACTAAAAAGAACAATCAAGTTGCTGTTCAATTGTTATATTTCAAAACGGATCTCCAGCATTTTATGGAAGCAGCAGGGTCAGGTGATCATCTTGGACAAATAGCTGTAAGTCCAGTGAAGTCAGCTGACGGTCTGGCAATTGTATTTGTCTATAAAGAGTCAGAATAAAGCTGTCCATTCCTAAAGTAGCCTAAAGCTGAGATTTTTCATAATTGTCTAATGGATTTACATGCACTGCCCCCTATTATATTTATTGCAAATGGGTGTTCCAATCCCATAAGCAGATTTGAAAATCCCAGCATGATATTTTTAAAGTCTGCCACCACCAAGGCCTGCAACTGACAAGTTACAGAGAGTCTCTTTTGGAAAGAAAAACTACCCTCATTATAATTGCTAAAATCACACAGTATTGGTGAAGGTTCAATCCATAGTTAAAACTATCACTAAAGAGACCACTGGAGTAATTTGAATTCAGTAGACTTACCCAGTTCACCAAGGGGATGAAGTCAAGAGAAGTGGATACAACAACCCAGAGTCGCAAGCCCTTTTATATGCTTTCTTAGCCAATGGGAAGGATAGGAGACACCCTTTCAATAAGCAAACAAAGTGTTTTCTTGAATGCATTACCAGTGATAGAACAAAATGTTTTCTTACTTAATATGATCATTATTATTATCTTATTATTTTAATGGCTTTCCTATGGTTGATCAGTTACTCAATTTTCAATCCCACATATGCATATTACACCCTGAAGTTCCTTTAATCTGAAAGTTGTATGGGCAATATACCTTCCTGGTATCATCTCAGTAATCTCCTTGGTGTTGACAGAGGTATAAATCCAGTTCCATTGCATTACTTCTTCATTGAATAACTTCAAAATATGAAGGTGACTCAGAGGTGTATCAATATTACAATCCGCTGGGATGTGCAGGATTCCGTGTTGTTCTTTAAATCTCGACTAGTATCTAATTAGCAGCAAGGTGGAATTCTTGTGGGGTGCAAGACATTATTCGGCAGGTGTACATTCTCACCCTTAGCTGTACACTTTGTGTTTGAGCCAACACCCTTTGGAACTGTATGAAAGTCTCTCCAATCTCTTCAATGGCCATAGAAACAGACCTTCTGGGTTACAATACTGTGCTGGACACATGACCAGGACAATAGCACAAACTCATATATTAAATGGTAATAACTCTCCAGGACCAGATGGTATTCACCCAAGAGTTCAGAAAGAACTCAAATATGAAATTGCCTAACTACTAACTGTGGTAAGAAGTCTATCGCTTACAGCAGCCTCTCTATCCGATGATTGGCAGATAACTAATATGACGCCGATTTTTAAAAATGTCTCAAGTTCAGTACAAGGTAAATTGGTTGAAACTGTAGTAAAGATCAGAATTATCAGCCATATAGAGGATTATGATACGCTGGGGAAGAGTCAATATGGCTTTTGTGAAGGGAAGTCATGGCTTACTAATCATTAGAATTCTTTGAATCAGTCCACAAATATATGGACAAGGGTGATCCAGTGGAGAATGTGTAGTTGGACTTTCAGAAAGACTTTGACAAGCTCCCACACCAAAGGCTCTTAAAGAAACTAAGGAGTTACGGGGTAAGAGGGAAGGTTCTCTCATGGATCAGTAACCGGTTAATATATAATGGGAAAGGTGAAGAAAGGAAACTTTTAGTTTTCAAAGTGGAAAGAGGTAAACAGTGGGCTCCCTCAAGGAGTTGTACTGGGACCAGTGCTCTTCAATGTATTCATAAATGATCTGGAAAAAGAGGTAAACTTTGAATTGGCCAAGTTTGCAGACCACACAAAGTATTTATGATAGTTAAGTGCAAAGCGTACTGCAAAGAGTTACAAAGAGATCTGACAAAACTGGGTGACTGGGCAAGAAAATGGTAGTAGAATTTCAAGTTGACAAATGCAAAGTAATACAGATTGGAAAATATAATCTCAATTATACACTAACAAGGATGGGGTCTAATTTAGTTGTTGCCACTCAAGAAAGGTCTTGGAGTTATTGTGGGGAGTTTTCTGAAACATCCGCTCAGTCAAAGACTCTCAGGGTATGTCTACACTACGAAATTAGTTCGAATTTATAGAAGCCGGTTTTATTGAAATCGGTT